GAGAGAGAGAGAGAGAGAGAGAGAGAGAGAGAGAGAGAGAGAGAGAGAGAGAGAGAGAGAGAGAGAGAGAGAGAGAGAGAGAGAGAGAGAGAGAGAGAGAGAGAGGGTGAGAGAGAAAGAGAGACAGAGCGAGAGAGAGAGAGAGGGTGAGAGAGAGAGAGAGAAAGATAGAGGGCGCGCCAACACTTACTGCGCGACATCTAGTATCCTAAGATTCTCTGGCAGAGGAGTGACGTAAATACTTTGCAAACCTGTAAAAAATGAAACATTGATTACAAAAAGGAAACAAAGGCATAAAGAAAACAAACTAGATAAAGATAGAAGTCAAGTAACGACAGACGCTGCTATATATCTATAATTTGAACCGCTAGATGGCAGCACAAACTGTTGTGGCGCGAGGACAGCAGCAGTTGCTGGCTGTAACAGCCGCAAAGTTTAAAAACACACACACACACACACACACACACACACATATATATATATATATATATAGGCCCCTATATATATGTAATTATATACATATATATATATATATATTTATTTATTATATATATACATGATCAATAGGTGGCAGCACTCACTGTTGTGGCGCGCGTGCAGCTGTTTTAGACTGGTACCGCTCGCCTGCAGCAGCACGAGCTGGTTGTGACAGCAGCGCAGGTACTCGAGCGACGGCAGCGCGCGCAGGTCCAGATTCGTCGCGTTGTTGTGACACACGTCAAGGTGCGTGAGATGCTCCAACAGTTCAAAGGTCATCGTGACGACAGGAGGCAACGTCAGACTGTTCAACCGTAGGTCCATCTACAAAACGATGCGGAGTCAGTGGAGACTGGTCGCCATGGCAACGGTGCGGTAAGGGGAGAGGTGGCCATGGCAACGGTCAGTGAGAGGGGATGGGTCGCCATGGCAACGGTGCGGTAAGAAGGAGAGGTCGCCATGGCAACGGTGCGGTAAGGGGAGCGGTCGCCATGGCAACGGTCAGAAGAGGTGGGTTGCCATGGCAACGACAAATCAGAACAGACGATCGCTATGGCAATAATTAATCAGAGGCAGTGGAAGTGGCTGATTGCCCTGTCTGGCAACAGTCTGGCAACGACAGCAGGCACAAATACACGCACACACGCACGCACGCACGCACGCACACACACACGGACACGCACGCACACACACACACACACAAACATATACGCACACACATACGCACACACATACACACACACACACACACATACACACACACACGCACACACACACACGCCCTCACGCACACGTACCTGTTGATTATTGGCTCACCTGTTTAATGTGTTTGAGTCCGGACACGGTGTCACCCGGTAATCTGTCGATGTAGTTACCTGCCATGACGACATTCTCCACCTGTAAACCACGAACACATCATTCATGACCGCATCAATGACAGAACACACTCATCGTGTATAAATCATTGACAGAACACACCCATCATGTATAAATCATTGACAGAACACACACATCATGTATAAATCATTGACAGAACACACCCATCATGTATAAATCATTGACAGAACACACACATCATGTATAAATCATTGACAGAACACACCCATCATGTATAAATCACTGACAGAACACACACATCATGTATAAATCATTGACAGAACACACCCACCAGGTATAAATCATTGACAGAACACACTCATCATGTATAAATCATTGACAGAACACACCTATCATGTATAAATCATTGACAGAACACACCCATGATGTATAAATCATTGACAGAACACACCCATGATGTATAAATCATTGACAGAACACACCCATCATGTATAAATCATTGACAGAACACACTCATCATGTATAAATCATTGACAGAACACGCTCATCATGTATAAATCATTGACAGAACACACTCATCATGTATAAATTATTGACAGAACACACTCATCATGTATAAATCATTGACAGAACACACTCATCATGTATAAATCATTGACAGAACACGCTCATCATGTATAAATCATTGACAGAACACACTCATCATGTATAAATCATTGACAGAACACGCCAACGTACAAATTCTTATAGCTTTATTACTAGTAAACGAAGTCCGCCGAAGTAGACCAGTGGTAATATGAACATGTATAACGCCGTGGATAACAAGCTCATAAACCTGCATGTGGCATATCTTCTGTAATACCTCATTAATCTACCTGTATAATACCTTCAGTAATATTTCATTAACTTACATGAAGAATACCTTCTGTAATATCTCATTAACTTACCTGTATAATACCTTATATATTATCTCATTAACTTACATGTGGCATACTTTCAGTAGTATCTCATTAACTCACATGTAGAATACCTTCAATAATATCTCATTAGCTTACCTGTATAATACTTTCTGTAATATCTCATTAACTTACCTGTGGCATACCTTCAGTAATATTTTATTAACTTACATGTAGAATACCTTCTGTAATATCTCATTAACTTACCTGTGGCATGCTGACAAGCACCTCAGGTATGCAGGTAAAGCGATTGAATGCGAGAATGAGGATGTAGAGTTGACGCATCGTTGACATCTCGCTTGGAAGCGACGACAGAAGGTTGTTGTGAAGATGCAGCACCCGCAAGCTGAAGCGAAAAACACACGTAAATCAGCCTCACAGGATATATATGCATGACCTGCGGCGTATTACCTGCGGTGTATTACCTGCGGTGTTTTACCTGCGGCGTTTTACCTGCGGTGTTTTACCTGCGGTGTTTTACCTGCGGTGTATTACCTGCGGTGTTTTACCTGCGGCGTTTTACCCGCGGTGTTTTACCTGTGGTGTTTTACCCGCGGTGTTTTACCTGCGGTGTTTTACCTGCGGTGTTTTACCTGCGGTGTTTTACCCGCGGTGTTTTACCTGCGGTGTTTTACCCGCGGTGTTTTACCTGCGGTGTTTTACCCGCGGTGTTTTACCTGCAGTGTATTACCTGCGGTGTTTTACCTGCTATGTTTTACCGGCGGTGTTTTACCCGCAGTGTTTTACCCGCAATGTTTTACCTGCGGTGTTTTACCTGCGGCGTTTTACCTGCGGCGTTTTACCTGCGGTGTTTTACCTGCGGCGTTTTACCTGCGGTGTTTTACCTGCGGTGTTTTACCTGCGGTGTTTCACCTGCTGTTTTACCTGCGGTGTTTTACCTGCGGTGATGTCAACACTAATTTTATTCTGGCGTTTATTATCGTAGTTGTATTTATTGTGTGTTTTATATTTATATTTCTGATATTTTATAATATGTATAAAAATAATATGTGTAAAATACTAGGACTGTATTAACGGACTCTTCTATAGAACGGGCTGAAACCTGTCTACAAAGAACACCTTTAGTGTTTCCTTTGAATGACAGATATGAAGTAAATACATCTACGTAGAATAGATACCTGTCTATAAGAAACATGTTTCGCGTTACCATGGAGAGACCGCTATACAGAGGTTTGACCGTACAAATAGACACTAAACGGAACTAATGGTTAAGTGAAAGGCAACGATAGCAGAACAGCAGAACAACAGACTGGAGTAGTGAGAGTGGTTTACTCGCGTTCAATTAGCAACAAACACATTTCGGATTTCTGAGCGAGTCCTCATTAAATACGTCCTCATTTTGGTCTCATTATTCATGATCGCTAGTATTATTCACATGTCATTGAGCAGGTAGAGGATTAGAGAAGAAATGGCATAGAGAAAATGTAGCGTTCAATCCTGGTGAGTCGCATGATGATTGCCTTACTATAATATATATATATAGAGTTACTGTACAAAGAAAGATATATATATATATATATATATATATATAGAGAGAGAGAGAGAGAGAGAGAGAAAAAGAAAGAGCAGATAGATAGATTTAGAAAGATAGAGAGAGAGGAGAGAGAGAACAGAGAGAGAGAGAGAGAGAGGAGGAGAGGATAAGACAGAACGAGGCCGAGGGGGAGCGGGGGGAGAGACGAGAGCAGACCATCGGAGAGAGGAGAAGGAGAGAGTAGAGAAAGAGGAGAAAGTGTAAGGGGAGAGATCGAGAGAGAGAAAAGACACGAGATAGAGATAGAGAGAGAGACCGAGAGAGACGAGAGACGAGCCGAGAGAGAGAGAAAGAACAGCAGATAGGATAGCAGAGAGAGAGATACGATGGGGACATATATATAAGTATATATATATATATATAGTATATATATATGATTATTCGCTGACTATAGAATTCATGACACAATGAGTAATAATTTGTCACAGACCCAGATTTCACTATCACCTAGATTTCACTATCCCTAGATTTCACTATCACCTAGATTTCACTATCACCTAGATTTCACTATCGCCTAGATTTTCACTATCTCGCCTCAGATTTGCTATCTGTATCTAGTCTTTCTTTCGTGAGTTGTGTTTGTTGTTGTATTATCTATGCGAACAAAACGGGAACTACTATACAAGGGCGGACAAGAAATAGGGGCGCGCGTGAGGAGAGTATGCAGGGCCTATAATTATATATATAAGTATATATATATATATATAGTATATATATATATATATATCACCTTCTAGACATCGCTAATTAGGTGCAACAGACCACAACTAGTGCGATGCAGATGCTGGGTATTGTGCTGTTATGTGTTTTGGCGTGCGTGATGCGCTTATATGTGTATATGTGGTGCCGTGCTTTAGACGTTATGTGTACGTGCATTTGATCGTGCTTTGCGCCGGACGCGTGCAGGCCTTAGCGGTAAAGCGTCGCGTGCGTGCCCGTGCTGTGCGTTAGCGGCGTGTGTCTATCCTGAGCCTCCCCCGGTGTGGCATGTGTGTGACGGTGTGTGTGCGTGGATGGTGTGTGTCACGTGGCACGCACTGTGTGGTGAAGGTGCTGTGTTTGTGTGGTGTGTGTGTTGCTGGTGCTGTCATGTGGTGTGTGTCGTCGTCGTCGTGTGCGTGGTGTGCTGGTGGCCATGGCTGCCATGATGTTTGCTGTGTCGTGTTGTGCTGGTGTGTGTGTGTGTGTTCTGTTGTGTGTGTGTGTGTGTGTGTGTGTGTGTGTGCGTGCATCGTCGGCACTGCAGTGCTGCGGGTTGAGTGTGTGTGTGTGTGTGTGTGTGTGTGTGTGTGTGTGTGTGTGTGTGTGCGTGTGTGCATTTGTGCGTGCGCGTGTGTGCGTACATGCGTTCGTGCGCGCGTGCTTACGTGTGAGTGTGTGTGTGTGTGTGCGTGCGTGAGTGCGTGCGCGCGTGCGTGCGTGCGTGTGTGCGTGCATGCGGCCGTGCGCGTACACATGGAGGAGGAGCTCGCTAAAACTTCGCTTTTCCGCGATTTTCCGCATAAATTACGAGGTTGCTTCTGAATGCCGACCGGTGCCCGGGGGCAGAGGGCCTGACACTCGCTCACCCGGCATCTTCGCCCACAAAGGGTTGCAAAGGCGTCTAAATCTCATTATAACTGTCTCTCTCTCTATTTGTATCTCAGAGGGCGGTACAAGTTTCACGCGCGAGAGAGAAGGCAGCCACGCGTAGAGAGAAAGAGAGAGAGAGAGAGAGAGAGAGAGAGAGAGAGAGAGAGAGAGAAAGAGCGAGAGAGAGAGAGAAAGAGAGAGCAAGCGAGAGAGATAGAGTGAGAGA